GTATTTGATGGATAGGATAGCATATTTTTATACTAAGCTGCATTCTGGTATTGTCAATATACAGCACTTCAAAAACATAAAAGATTTTCAGATACACATAACCAAACAGCCGCAGTCATCACTTACTTGTATCATCCATGATAAATGATGACAAAAAATATTGAATTAACAACTAATGAATGTAAATATCTTTGATCTGGCGTTGTCTCTCTTGTGTTGTCATCACCGTCTCTAAGTATTACATCTATCATAAGCCTGCCAGTCCCAATTACATGAGCATTCCCATAGAAGACATCTAACTCTTGGTCAAAGAACTACAGACATCACGTCAGAACCAACCACACACTTCATTTCTTAAAGCTGAAAGTTGAGATCCTTGATTTTGAGAAAAAAGTATATGGGATTTTAAAAAAACCATTGAGATAAATTTGGCCAAGGTTACAGACACAATGTACTCAAAGTAGAAACAACACTTACTCCTTATGCCAATCTGACTAAATAAATCAATCAAAAGCATTATTTTCTATATTTCTATTAATGCCAATCTTAGTGATATTTAAAGAATGCATGTCTGATAGGTGATTCAATGCACCATACAGACCTTACCTAGACAAACAAACTCAAAGTTCACTACTCTTTGCCACACTTGCATTATGAACCCCATACTGGTTGAAAATTTTCTCCTCAATTTGTTGAAATTGCATTTTGTATCAGTAAGACACATGTCCCGCTGACAAAGCAAAGGCAGTTGCTCCAGCAGCAGCAATTGTAAGACTCATCAAGCATTATTGCAACTGCTCGGGAACAGCTGTTCTGTCGAATTCTTAGGCTTCAAATTGGCGGGCTGAATTACAGGAGCATTTAGCAATCGTGGCAATTACCTGGGTAGTTTTGAGGTACTGGGATAAATCCATAATAATTCACTTGTTGGATGATGATCGCATGCCCTTGATATGCGTAATGTTGAATTGCGCATTTTTGTGTTTTTATGAAAAATTACATGAAGAAATAACAAGTAACTAAAGTTCAGAAACTATTTACCAGAAAGTACTAATACAGTGTACGTCAAAGTGCAGTCTTATAAAAGAATTATTGGCAGGTTTTCCTCATGGTATTTAATTTGATTGATTCACAGCCCATAAATATTGGAAAATGTGGCGTTACAAAAATGAAGTGTTACAAAAATCTGGGCAAATACCTAAGCTCTAATTAACCATAGCAGATATGATGAACCAGTTAATTTCTTGCAAGCATTTCTTTTGGCATAACGCTAGCCAAAAATGTGAACTTCAAATGGAATTTCGTGAAAGAACGATGCAATGCAACAGAGACAAGCAAATTGCCTTTAGAGATAGAATTCCATGAACTCATCACAAAATCAGGCAGTTTTTAAGATTTGCAAAACATCGCATAACACAAATCCTGTTTTATTATTAGGAATATGTCAGAGGGAGATGTTTGACATAGGTGCACAGTTGCAGGCTTTTACCCTGAAAATGCCTGCTATGTAGATTATATACACAAATTCTTCTAAACATAATAACTAGTCGAACATTGCCATTGTGACGAAAATAAAACATGAAACTTATTCCTTTCTAGATGCTATTAATATATATTATGGCTATCTGATTGATGCTTCTCTCTCTACCTTAAAAAATCTTCATAAAATCATTGAAATATAATGTACGAGATTAAGAAATCAAAATTGTATTATAAAGTGTTTTATAATATTATATACAGTATAAGTATACATGAGTTAATTTTCATCGCAAACAATTATGAGATAAATAATACAAAATGATGAATTAAACGTCAAAAAATTATCTTTCACAAATAAAAAAAAATTTACATATTTTTCACTTTTTGCAGAAACAAAACTCCCATATCTTCCATGATAAATCAGACCATATGTACATAGAGTTAGACTAACCTGACCATAGAATCCACACTGCATCTTGCACCACAGAGCCTTCAATAAAACTACAGTAATCCATAATCTGAGGTGGAAAATATAGCGTAAATCTGGATAACTGATACCTTTATTCAAGACGAGAATTCAGGTTTGTAGATGAGAAAAACTCGAAACTATGAATAATATATGAACACTATCAATAGAATTAAAAAGACGTCCTAAGAACTAATACTTCGAGGATTTATAGCGCTAAAGATCTTGGCAGAATAAAAGAAATATGATCAGTTATTTGGACATTGAAATAAAATAAAAAATAAAAAGATTATATTCTTACCTTTTAATGCAATCACCAAAATGAGTTCATGATCATACTTGGTGTTTTCTCTATTTCATGAGGTACAATTGAGCAAATGACACGCATGGGTTTTATTAAAGATAGTTACAATGTGATGGAGCATTGGCTGAATACATAGCAGGGCTTAACTGGTGATCAACCTACAATTAACTGCCTTTAATCCTAAAGATGACTACAAATCGGATGATAGAAAATCATTTTATTGCTCTGTGTAATCACTTATAGAAAATCAATCAGGTTTAAATCTCAGAATATTCTAACGACTGATTCCTTCCGAAGCAGGTACCTTCTAAGCATTGACTATTATCAATTTTGATTATTAATAATGAATTAAAATAAAAAAAGGATAAGAAAAATAAAAAAAGCAGAATATTCTTTTCACTTAAAAAAGGAGACTAGAAATAGTTCTCAATGGCATGTTTAGCATTATGGGCATTAAAATGTCCTCCTCTTGTGCTTCATCTATAGTCCACTGATATCAATGTTTTAAAGATATCCTGAAAAATAATTTATCCTCCATATAGGGGTATGGATGTCTTCATTCCTATTTATTAGTGTTTAAAAATTCATGAAAGCTGAACAAATGTTTCGTTTACTTGATGGTTCCCTATATCATCGTTTATTGAAACTTATCTCGACTTAGTCAACAGAAAGCAGGTGATCATACAATTCAGATATTAGAGTTTCTCCTTTTTCCAAGATTTAATTGTTCAATTACAATTACTCATACTACTGTAAACTCACTCAATGAAAAACCTTTCTGTATAAAATTACAAATATACAATTTTATTAATAATGCAACAATCATGAAATGTTGAATTAAATATTGTAAATAGGAGGCTCTAGACATGGAACATGTTGTGTTCAAATGCTGTGTTCCATTAGGCGTGCATGTAGAGGGGCGGGCCTGTAGTAATTGTACTTCTACCTGTAGAGAGCCTAAACAAGGTGGGGTGAAACCACACATGGAAAAAAGAATGATTAGTTTTTATAAGACGCCCTTACATCTTTACTAATATTTCAATTTTCTATATTTTTCTTGTGAAACTTAAAATCTTAAGTGCCATGAACAGTTTTACCTTAAAATGTAATCATATTTTATGGGAGGATAAAAGTGATTAATTTTGGTTTTATTCTTTATTATTATGAAGGATTTCTCAAAGCAGGGGGCAATTTTCCGAGAAGGGTAGAACGCAGTCATGTGGCTGCTATCAAGAAGGGAATGATTCCCACCTTGCCATAGGAAGATCAAAAATTTAAAGTCTTGTGATCATTTTTACCGTTATTGTTAAGCCGGAAGCGAAATGTTTTTCATTTATTGATTTTAGTGACGTTTTATTATTTCATTCTTTAGTTGTTTTCTTGACCAGTCTTGCTTAGCTATATAGCATAACATTTTTATGGTTTAAGTTTGATTTTAATTTATTATATAGTTAAAGGGTTCCGATTAGCATCCCGTATAAAAACAATATGGCGGCTCCAGGCGAATCAACTGGATCAGTCCATTTTTAAGAAATAAGGGGAGTTCTGTAAAATCCAGTTTATCAAAATTGTCTTTGAGATAAAGTAATCCGTTTATACTGATTTTGAAAACGTTATCCAAAGAGTGATTGCGTTCAAAGAATACATGTACAACAGCCAATATAAATCCTTGTATTGGAACTGCTTTGTTTCATTTGTAGGATATTTCATATGCCAAGCTGTGTGCTATTACGTTATGGGGAAATTTCTATGCCAATTTTTCCTTATTATACACAAATAGAAGATCCTGAAACTTCACCCATAAATGTGGAATTGATTTGTCAAAATAAAAATCACCCTTTTATAAATGTGTGACGATCTATAATATACTTATGCTATATAACAGTTAGAGGTGTTGACACAACCACCTCGAACCTGTGAACCCTTGAGTATTATTCCGGGATCGGGCCTTTTATACTAAACGGTGAGCAACACCAGAAACGAGCGTTCGATTTGCTAAACGATATGCGTCACCCTTTAACAGATTTATAATGTTGACTGAAAAAGGTTTAATGCCATCGATTTAACATAGAAAGATTATTTCCTCCAAAAGTCAAAAATAAGTCGCAGGGAATGTTGAATGTTATTTCTGGGGGTATACTGCTGGCCAGCCATGTGTGTGGTAGTAGATATAGCCAACAGATCATCATAGAATGAAAACATATTATTACCACCAAAAATATTCTTTCAAGATGGCCATGTGTACTTTCAAGATGTTTTGTAAACATTGTATTGTACAAAAACCAATTCCGTGAATACAATCATAACATTGCATTGTTTTATTTTTTTTAAATTGGTATTTGTATTTTGAAGATATTGTATTTCTTGGCGCTGTTCTTATTTTGATGATAATCAGTGAAGAAGCTGATAACTCCTAGTTCACTTATCAAATCCTGCAGACACTAGTCACAATTCAAAAGTTCTGCAATCTATCTGCATGTCAACCTTCTAAGTGCACCATGACCTTGATAAAATGATAAGTGAATTCTACAAAATAAAATAACCCGTCTCCCAAATCCTGATTTAAACATCTCAAAATTCTTGAAAATATTCTGAAAACTATATTGCCTCAATTGTTCAAACAATTACAATAACCATACTGTCAGAATACACTCTCATTATTACTGAAATTACTATAACACAATGGATATCATATAAGTTCCCTGATTTTGCAGCATTTGGTGATATTAACAATCACACAAAGATACTTACTGAGGCAAGAGCATTTCGCATGACGTCCCTAGTTTGTGAGCTTCCCTGGTTTGGTAGATCTGAACCATTGATGGGCGGTGATGTCCCTGTATAACTTTGTGTTGACGACATAGTGGTGGTAGGCTGGAAGGAGGACATAGAGGGAAGACTGGACATACTTAACGCATTAGGGGTAGGCATGTAGTGTGTGTTGGGCTGAAACACAGAAAAACATCATCGATTAGAATTTCAGATTTATAAGTTTCATTAATGTTCAATAATGTTACATTGTTACATATTGTTCACATTATGCAAATTAAACAGAATCTTGATTCTATATTAACCCAATAATCATCAACACAGAAATAATATGTTAATTTTCACAAACAAGGTGATGCTAAATTATGAGTATTTCTTCTTGTTTAACCTATCAGACTCATACATGTATTTGCAGATCAGAATATACAGGGAGTACTCACAGCACACAACATGTTACTTACCACATTTTCTGAATGCATATTTGGTGTATATGATGATTGAGGAGGAGGGTGAGAAGAAGGGTAAGAGGAAGGAATGACATTGTCGTTCTGCCATGACCCGCCAGGGGGAGCACCATGAGAACTCTCTGAAAAAGAGGAGAGGAAAACATATTAAGCAGACGGCATTTAAAATAAACTATCAATAAAAATATATTAAGTAAATACATGTTACAACTTTGATAGATTTAACAGTTAAGAACCACCAAAATTCACATCTCAGAATATATCTCAGTAACCATAGAAATTCCATCTTCTTGGAGTTAATTTGAAGCTGATAGGGTGTAATAGATGCTGATAATCCTCCTAGGGAGACTGCAATGTATATGACAGCATATTATGCCCACCTTGCATAACTCAATCTAAGAAGAAACTTCAAAGATTCATGATACTCCTTTAAACTTGTATATAATTCCCTTTCTCCATTTTTGTCTTGGAATAGGTATATAAGAAACATAACGATTTATCTTAACTTAAATTTACAAATGATGATCTCAATTAAATCAAAAATATAATCAAGACCAGAATGATTCACCAACCCCATCATTGCAAAGAGATGCAACCCAAGTTACATGAATTCTTTACTAGGGTAATCCTTACTCATGCTTGTTTATTTCTTATCAGATATGTAAATACCCTGGTTAATTAAGACCAGTCTAATTAAGATCAGACTTTAATGAATGTGTGGGCCTTATAGTTCACTTATCTTTCACTGAGACATAAAGTTGGATCTCTAAGAGATAGGACTCTAATTTGATTTGCACTGAGTCTTGCTTAGCCATTAACTAAAATAGCTTGAGTAAATCTTGCAAGTTGTGCCAAACATGTTTATTAAACATGTAACTACATCAAGTGCATGTACAGTACATGATATCTCTATAATATACAAAATAATTAGAGCATCTCTAAACATTTTAACTTTAATGAATTATGTAAAATTATCTTTTATTCATTAGTAAACTGATTGTAACATTCTGAATGATGAAACCTCAGATTCTTTTCATATTCTGATTAAATGTTCATAATTTCTTATAACTCTACCGTGAATTTTGAGATAAATTCAGCAAAATATTTCCTGGCATTCAATGTAATTATCTAGCCCTAGTGTCTTCCTGATAGATATAAAGGAAGGTGTGAATGCCCCAAAATGCTACCAGTCTCTTGTTACAAAATATCATCCAGTCTGAGATGAGAACTGTTGAAATACAAATCCCATCTTTTTCTACTCTTACTCACAACCTAAAAACACTGAACTCTAAAACCTTTTTTTGTATTTGCTTTGAAAGAATCTAAAGTTCAATCCAATCATAATATTACTCAAAATAATAAAATAAAAAAAGATAAATTATAAAATAAAGTAAATCTTCTCCTCTAAACCTAATACATTTAAGTGAGAAAATGAGAGAACCCAAAAATACTGAAGAACAATGGATTATCTTATTCACCCCATACTAAAACTTGTTTGTGATGAAACAAAAGTTTAGAACAACAAGTTGCATTCAGGATAAATGTTTTTATCATCTCATTGTAATGTTTCTCATTCTGTGATTGGTTGAACATGCATCACATGACCTAAAACATTCTACAGTTTTTTCCTCTAATGAATACTGTTGATTGGAGCTTTGGGGGAATATTTTCTACACTTTGTGTTTTAATATCCCTTGTTACAGAATGAAAAACATTGGTGAATAATAAAACAAATATTTCATTCTATTTCCCCTCAATAGAAAAAATATTTGTACAACATCCAGGCGTGGGTGGATATATCATCAATTGCCCAAGAAAAACACCAATATCCTGTACTTAATATAGGATAAACCCTATACATACCTGGTCCAACTTGAAAGTATTCTGAGCCTGGTCCATAAAGACTGCCTGGCTTGGGGGAAGTGTATCTGGGTGAGTCTTGATTGAACTCATCGGGACTGGGTGAGTAGACCTGAAAACACATTAGTAATCTAAATTTAATTTACAATCTACCAATTATACCCCCATAAGATGATTAGGTATAGGTAAAAAAACAAGTACAAGTATACTTGCATTCAAGTATTTTTTTTAAATATTCATTAAATCATTAATTTGGCTCAATTTTCCTGAATATCACTTGGATTACAAATCTACTTTTTAATCATAATTTAATATGTTCAACAAAATTCAATGGCAACCACAATGATTTTCAAATCAATTGTTAAGTTCTTAAAGCTTTTATACAAAGTACTTTTATTTTAAATATATATTAGACCAACAATAGTTAGTCTGCAATATTATGGGATACTTTCAAGATTTGAAATAAATAAATAAATAAATAAATATAACACAGAGTTTTCCAATTGTGCCACTCTAAATTCTCCCCTATTTGTCATAGATCAGAACACACAAGACACGAGCAGAATTAATTCAATTCATACCACCATGAATTCCTGCAGAAGTGCTTCAGTAAGTGGCCTCTTAGAATTTCAAAAACTCATGTGAAAACTTTAATCTGGAAAATTTCAACCTGGGGGTCCACAATAAAAAAGCTGAATGTTTTTATACAACATTGGGCCCTAGGTGCAAAATATTGTAAATATTTTCTCTGTACTATCTCGCAAGATCAGATAGGTGATAAAAATGGATGTGTCATCATTCAGATTTCTTAGACAATAAATGTTACTATGGTTTTCCCTTTCACAAGCCTCTAATGATAGAAACAAGACATATTGTCTTTCAAAAAGAAGAATATTGGGCATACCATATCTCAATTTCTTTAAAAGACAAAACAACTTTTCCAAACGTTTTTATTAAAAATATAACTGGTTAACAAAAATTAAAATGAAAGGCATAGTGCATTATCTCAGTCTACAATATAACTATTAAATCAGAGAAATATAAAATGAAGGCAAATTATATTTTTAAACTCAAGAAATGTCTACTAATCGAGTGCTTTAGCTGGTGTCTCAGAAAGAAAGTGGTTTTTGAGTGAATGTAGATAAGGAGATTTATGGAAGTATTTTATTGGACCTGGCAGAGGCGAGCCACTCAAACAGAAGCTCTTGTATATCCCACTGCCCCCCCCCCCTTCTTCGTCCTCAATACTTTTCCTACTCTGAGAAAGAGCCAGGAGCATCAAAGAAAATCAAATCAAATTCTGAGGTAAAATTCCAAGAAATACACACATTGAAAAGTCACCCGATCCATCATTCAAAGGACTTCATTTATTACTCAATTCAGAAAGAAGTGAAATGCCCTTGGACCAAGGATGAAGTCACTCCAACGATTCAAAATTTATATGACTGCCAATTCATACATACTGTGCTACTAGCAGGCAAGCACTTTATTGTCATCATATTATCACAAAAATAAAATTAATCAACTAAAATATTGAAGTTTTGAAGTTATCAACTATTGAACAGGGCAAAAGAATCACATCTATAAATCATCAATAAAAAGTGTGTCAATTAATGCACTATAATTATGTTTAATTATGTACATATGTAGCAGATGTATATACAGCTATAAATCGGTCTAAAATAAAATAAAAAATGACTTCCCATTTTGAGCAATCATGCATTAATGATTAAATAATCAATGCCAATATCCAAACAATCAATACCAAAATCTAAACAATCAAAACCAAAATCTAAACAATCAGTAGAAAGAGCAAAACAATCAGTGCCAATATTTAAACAAATGCCTCATATAATTCAATCTGCTATTTTTAAGTACTTACTGAGTTTTGAGACATGTACATTAAAGATCGGTAGTATGGGTAAGAAGAAAACATAACTTGCAGGCTATATTGGACCTTATCTTCCAATAAATTATTCTGAAGAGATCTCTTGCTGTTGTTTTCTACACATCATTTCTTATTTCTTTCATATTCAACAATACAGAACTATGTTATCAATGTTAAAAAGTTAATCCATAGATATATTTCTAAGTCTTGTTGAAGTTCTATCTATCCTTTCTGTATGCGAGGTTTGCCCGTCATAAATGATAAATCCTGACTCATGATTCTTTATCATTCATCAAAGAGAACTCATTCATCCCAGAACCATAGAGAATTCAGCAAGGTTGCTAGGATGTTCAAGAATTCACTAAATTGATGTCGGATAAATAATGGACTTAGATAAGGTGAGATCTAGGGAGTATAATTGGCTACTGGAAGTGATATTATGTGCAATTTTATACCTACCTTAGAGGATCTATTTACTTATCTTCCCCCCTTGCCAATCAGAATATTGTGAATTGTTGGATCAACAAAAAATACCATGAGCAAGCAAAGATTAATTATTCGATCTATATCACAGAAATCAGATATCTTTAATAAGAAAGAGAATACTCATAAGCTCTTATCTTGTCTTTTAAAAACAAAACACTGTAATGTTTAAATAATGGATTTTACTTTGACTTGTAAACTTTAGAAACGTGAGAACAGGATGTAGGATGTAATGAACTGATTTTTTATGAATTCTAATAGAATTTCTTCTATCCTAGCAATCTAAAAGAAAATCTCTGGTTTGTTGTGACATCATGATAATTGTAGATCCTACACGCCTAAATCCTATTAAAGTATTTCGACTCTACTGATAAACAGATTTCTTTTTTCCAAATGTCAATCAAAAATTACAGGGCTAATTGCTAAATAGAAATGTCTTGGCAAGTTAGCATCAAGTTCAAAAGTTGGGCTCAAATGTTGGATGTATTCAATGGGGTTCCTGCTACCTGGATGGCTTGCTTACCTTTCCAGGGGTTTTCCTACAGGTCATGCTATTCTAAGAAATGCAGAGAAATGTGCACCAATCTTGTGCATAAAAAAGTTATCTTATTTTCACAAACAAATGTCATAAAAACTCAAATAAAACTCAAATAAATAAAAATTCAATGGAAATTCTGAGAAAAGAGTGAAATATAAGCGAAATGAATCTTTGTGATTCAAGATAAAGAAATCTCCCCAAGACAAAACCATCTCTAAATCATTCATGGGAAAATGAACAAATCCGGAAAACCTCCAAAAAAGTAGAGGATTTCCAGTGATAACAAGACTTGGAGTAACTTGAACTAGCTAAGTAATAATCAGATTAACTGATTAGAAAAACTGATTAAGTGCCAGATAACTAACTCTAGTCTTGGTGTAGAGGAGTTGTAGGTAAATTGAATCAGAGTTTTTCATAGAAGGTGACATGAGATCAGTAGTAGTTTCAACTGTGGGGACCCCTGAAGCACTTGTGGGAAAATCTAAGAACATCTTGGTTAGAGATTATGGACGTAGGACGTAGGTTTACTATCCAATATTTCAAATTACTATGGAATACTTTCTCTTTATTGAATTTAAACATGAATTAAATGACCAAGTTTGAAGAAAGTATATCAAAATATGTCAAGAGAATCTCCCTTAATATATTTACATTTATTTGAATGATACAAGATGCAACCAAAAGGTGGCAGCACCATATAAGCTATAGATTAATTGAAAACCATCTTATAACCTGGCATTTATCAAAACTGACCCCAGCTCTTACTATATAGCTAGATCCATCTCAGTAAAACTACAGGATCAGCTGATCATTGACATATAGGCCAGTATAAAAACATGGATCATGCTATAGCAAGACAGGTGCTTATCCCATCTTTACTATGTAATTACCCAAATGTTACAGTATTTAGTAATACTACAGAAAGCTGTGAATCCTCACAGGTGAGGGGGAAACTATCTGACCAGATTTGTAGTCTGATACTCATCCCATCTTTTTGTTTTGCAATTACAGTAATATTTGTCTAACCCAAACGCCACTGGGAATGGCCAAAGTGTTTAGATTAACAGGTGATCTGTTCACATTTCAAGTTTTTTAACATGGAAGTCAATGGCAAAAAGTTTTCACACAGAGAGATATTCAGATCAGAGAGGTTATACATTTGTGGTCTCCCATAATGGCGGATAATTTTCTTCAAATTCATCATAAAAGAAATAGATAATTATACCCTGAACTCCAGATTAGAATTAATTAGATTAGACTCTCTTTAAAAGAAGTGAACCAGTTATTGAAAAGGGTAAGAGAAAAAGAAATGATAATTAATTACCAAGAATAAACAGGATGTCAATTATACACAAAGAGTTACAGAATTGTACATGAAGACAAAATTGTACATTTTCAGGACATTTTCATTGACTGGCTGAGATACACTACATGCTCTCCTGGGAGACTCCACATGAAGCTCCCTGTGCAGTATGTCTGTCCAGAAGTGTGTCTTGCACATGTGGGGACCATACTTTTACACTAGGGGGTAAACTGCATGTGTACCCTGTCAGTCTACTTTGCCCTATATTACTTTATAAAGAATCCTCAGAAGATTACTGCAGGATTTCCTCAAGCTTTATTCTATTGTCTAATTGAAATTTTGATGGCAACCTGACATGTTTATGGTATTGAAAAAAATGTGATGAAAGCTCAGTATGGGGTTAAACAGGAAATCCTGTCTTAAGTAAATGGTGTTCTGTAAGCTGGGTGTTCACATTCTAAGATGCTTACAGAAAAAAAAGTATTCACATTTTGTGGTGTTCACATTTTAAAGTTTTATAGGGTTTGCTATAATAAGGAAGAAACTGCTGGGAGTAAAAACTGGAGGTGTTTGAAACATTCTACAATTCAATCATTGCTACTTCATAGGTTATGATATTGTATTGGTCAGAGATGTAAAGCAAAGTAAGAAGCCCAACAATGAATGTTTTCAAAGTTCTGACAGGGTGTGGAATTGTATATTGAAGGGAAGCTCTACAATAAACAAAAACAGTAAAACATTAATATAAACTTTTAAGTAGTAAAATAGTGGGTTCTGTGCATCTGTACATACATCTGAAATCATATCCTTTAGTCTTTTAACTCAATCTCTATCAAGAAATCTGAAGAAACAATGAAAAATTACTCTCATATTCAAATGTCACATTTTTTCATGATTACG